AACAAAACTTTAGGCCTTCCTTTGCTTGGGGAGGTCATGAGACTTTTTTGGCTGAAACAAGGAATGGTTTGTTGAGAGAGGAAAAAGAATTTCTCTCTGGATGGCTCTTACTTTTAAATATCTACTCCTCTTAACAGTCTGGTCAAATGATGTCTAGTGATGCAAGACACGTCATCTTCTGGTCAGCAGCGAACATCCCTAAAATTCTCTCATTTTTCTACTGGAGATTTCCCAGCAGTCTTTGACACTAACAGTCACCCACAGCTGATGGCATGTTACCATGTGACATTGTGTAAAATCGTGTGGCACAGTAAGATTTTTCTTTTCCTTACAGTAAATCCTGTGCTGGTGAAAAAAAAAAAAAAAGCGTAATTATTTTAATTATGTGCTTAGAAGAAGGGATTATCTACAACAAAGAATCACAGAGTAACACTAATTATTACTATGAATTTTTCAGGGCCCAAATGCTTTAATTTCACCCATAACTACAAAGGCTGTTTCTTATTATCCAACCACCAAAAAAGAAACAGAAGAAAGTCAGTTTGACCTTTCTAGCATGAAAAGCAAATTTAACAGGGAAAAGAAGACAATAAAGATACAAATACAAAACTGATATTACTGCCTTATTCACTACATCAACAAATATTTATTGAGCAACTAGTACATGTACCAGGCACTGGTGAATAAAGCAGGCATTATTGTTGCCCTCAAGGGCAAGAAAGTGTTACTAACAAGTAAAACAATACATAATTACAAATTATGGTAAATATTAAGAAGAAAAAGATTATTATACTTTGAGGGAGAAAATAAAGTTACATGGTAAGGAGTGGCCTTCTCAGAGAAAACCTCCTAAGAAAGGATATTTGAGCTGGCACCCAAAAATGGGAAGTTACTCCTGGAGATGGTCCTAAAAGGGAAGAGCAAGAGGAGTATAAGCCCTAAGGCAAGACTGCTGGAGAACTGGCCAAGATGCTGGCCAGAGAGAGGTCAGAAGACAAGGGCCAAATCACATAGGATCCTAAGATAAAACTTTGCTAACTTTGTATCTCACCCCAAGAATAAATGTGTTTCCTGGGAGCTTTGAAGATTTAACAGCAAGTGAGAGCAGGATGTGGTGTCCCACCTCTTTAACTCCAGCTCTCTGGAAAAGTTGAGGCAGGAGGATCGATCACTTTGATCCCAAGCTGGGCAACTTAGCAAGATCCTGTTTCAAAATAAATTAATTAAAAAGGCTGAGGATGTAGCTCCGTGCAAAGGCCCCGGTTTCGTTCCCCAGTACTGAAAAACAAGTAGACAAAAACCAAACCTAACAAACAAAAAAAGCATACAGCAAGTGACTTTGTATTTTATTTTTCAGGCTGCTGGTGGGAAAACAGACTGGAAGGAGCAGGGTGTGGGCAGGAGGCCAATGAATCAGAGAGAGATAACTGGTCTTAACTAGGAGGGGAGCATAGAAGAAACTGAAAATCAGATAGGTTTGAAAGAGATCCGGCAGAAAAAATGGACAGGACTTTGTGACAGTGGGTTTGAGGGTCTGAAAAAAAAAGAGAAAAGAGAGTGAATTAAGCGACACCTTGGATGAATGAGTTCAAAAATAGAAGAGCAACTTTGAAAAATGGATGGTCACAAGCTCAGTTCTGGAAAAGACAGATACTACCATTTATTTATTGTTCACTTAAAGTGTGCCAGGCACTATATGAGGTGTTCTAGTCATCACAGCACCATGTTCCCATTTTACAGAGAACAAATTGTAGCTCACAGAGGCTGAGCAGCATGGTCAAGTTTACTCACCTTGGGAGTGATACACCCAAGTCTGGCTGCTGGCTGTAGGGTAAACATTCTTTCCAATATACAGAGAACTTGGAAACTATCTCAATATTTTGAATTTTTGAAATCTATTTAGGATTAGAACAAGCTAGTATCTAAGGAAAGTAAAGTTACACATTATTTTAAAAATCTGAGTAGATTTATGATGCAGAATGTTTCTCTACCCAAATCCAGTTCCCATTACCCTGTTTTTGTAGTATTTTGAACACTAGCAAGATTTCTAAGATCTTAACATTTATAATAAATCAGCAAATCCATTATGCCAAAAGTAATTAACTATAATAAAAGAGCAACAATATCCTGAAGCAAACAATAGTTTTAATCCCAAATTATAATATGAATCAATATAAGAAAAATCAAATAATGAGTAAGAAACTGAAGAACTAATCATTTCTCAAAATGCAAGATATTCAAATAAAAAATGGTACAAGCCATCAATTACGGCTACAAAAAAGCCAAATGCCAAATATTCAAATTTAAAAGCTGAACCTTTAAAAAGCAAAAATAAATGACACCACAGATGTGTAGTTTAAATCTGAAATTTCCAAGTATCTTAACCAAATGCCAAATTCAGGAAACATGCACCCTAAAAATGATTTAAACATCTCTCTTCTACAACTGTTTTTCCCTTCAGCACACTGACACTTTTGCAAACTGAAACGCCTTTTCTATTTGTACAGTCGCAGGATTTGCTCCCTCTAGGGGATTTCTAATGTCCCCCCTGGGCTACTGAAGCCCAGAAATAAAGTTTGATCAATGAACCCACAATGAATTCGATGCATGACTGCCAATTGTGCCTGTTATGGAAAGTACCATCTTAACGGGGGGGGGGGGGGTTTGGACATTACAAATTATTTTGTTACACCTTATCCTTCAATAGAATACTCACCAAATTATCTAAAGTTTTCTTAAAGTGTGGGGTATGGTCATGTGTAATCCTGAAAGTAAAAGTATCATTAAAATGCCCACTAAAAACAAAATAACGCACAAATCACTTTCCAGCTAACAGTGCTGTGTCTTGTGCCCTGATTCTTGTGTGTCCCTGTACTTCTCCCCGAAGAAGACTAGCTGGCATTCTTTCACTACTGCCTCACTCAGGTAATGGACATGATGTTGAAAATTCATTAAGAAAGCTTCCCAGGTTCTATCCCTTCATAATATGATTTCACCTCCTAAAACTACAAGATGAAAGAAAACTATCTAGACCTCCTACCAGAAAAAAGTGCGCAAAACAGCAGAGATCTATACGTATTTAAAGATGCTTCCTGGGGACCAAACAGATCTAACCAAGAATCGCTGAGCCATAACCAACTGGAAAATCCATAGCTGTTTCTCCCTGCTGTCACCAAACTGGGGGAATTTTTAAAAATGCAAGGTTTTGATGTATTGACAGGGCTAACCTGATAGGGTTAAATCAACTAGGAAACGTGACCTGCATCTCTTTTCCTTCTAAATCCCTAAAGGTCAGAGGCAATACTGACTTACAATTACATCCTAAGATTTCTCTGCTCAAGATACCATCTGATGCTGAGAAAGTCGTGGTTTAGCAACACCAGGAGGCTCTACAATGCTAAGACAACAACGCAACACACTGGATTATGAACCTAGGTTTTGGCTTATAAAACCCAGGGCCCTAGGAGGACCCGCATTCAAAGCTCCCATTCCTTAAAGAGCTGAATTTTTCCAGGCTTCCTACGATTTGCTCTCTCAAAGTTTCTAGTCTGCAGAACGGAATTACTTTCAAAGTCCCCTCTTACCAACTCCCCTCCTCAGAGGGGCTGGCGGCCAGGCAGAATAGCGACGCAGGATAGTCAGCGTTCAAACACAATTTTAAGACCTTTAATCCAATCACTGTTTTGTAAGAGAAAAAAATAAGCGTTTCCCCAACCGCCACCCAGCAGGCGAGCATCCGACTTTCACCCAGAAGGGGGGAAAAAAAAGACGCGTATTAAAGAAGCCAAGACATACGTTTCCCTTCCCCACAAAAGTGGCCTCTAAACTCCCTTGCCAAGGGCAGCGGGAAGAAGTCGAGACACGAGCGCCGCGGGGAGCAGCGCGCAGGGTGACACCGGGGAGG